TTTTTCCTTTTGCTCTTTTTCTCTTCTAAGAAGGTTGTTACTTGAGATAGTTTATGTTGTTGTATGTTGGGACGGAGGGTGAGATAGGGCCCAGTATCTCTTTGTTGCTCACCTTTCATTCACTTTGCTCTTTGAGATTTACAGCGACTTATAAAAAATCTCGCAGCCATGAGCGACTGAGGTCCTGGAGTAGAGTATATCTATGCCCCCAGCTAGATTGGCGAATCATGGTGCGGTTCTCCGAACAACAGCAGGACTTCCTCATGGAATATTCCCCCATAAACCAAAGCGGGACAATCACTCTTAGAACCATCTAGACATTGTAACCACCCTGACCCCAAGTAAACAAGACCTACAAATTAACCACCTCATTGAAAGCCACTATGACACGAAAACAATGGTTATCAAATTAATATCTCATAAATGCATCACGCTAGTCAAAAAGAAAAGGAAAACCCAGCACTTTAAACCCAACATAAAACTCCAATCCAATCTGAAAACTCCACATCCTCATTAATTAGGGGACTTATAGCCAAGACCAGTGATCCTAAAAAACAAGCCAACCATTAGCGACACAAGCCATGGCAAAAGAAGAGTAGAGAGAGACAGAGTGATATATAGAGAGTTTTGGAGATTTCAAGAGAGAGATGAGAGTTTCCGGCGTAGTATACTGTACCGACTACCATTCCGGAATAGGATATACTAACCTACTCCACAAAAGGCCTATAAGACCTGGCTGTTCGTTGGCGGCTGTGCGCTTCGCCCATCCATTTTCGACGTTGTAGTGCTTGACGTCTTGGAGGCCGGCGAAGAGGCCTCGTCCGGCTGTTGCGTGCTATCGATCGAGTCAGTGTCAGTTTCAGGTCCTAATTGGAGGCTCAGATATCGAGGGATAGAAGGGGATTGAAATGGACATACGCGAGCCTGGGCCTGGTTCTTGACCCAAAGGTCTGCACCGAAGTCGTTTTGGAGACGGGCGGCTGTTGATGCTTTAGACATGTTGGTTTGTGTGGATTTTGTCCGATGGATTCGGCTGATGATTGATAGTAGTGGATAAAGTAGGGTAAGTCAAATGACCCAGAAGGTATTCAGCGCAATGAGCAAGATAGCAGTCGCTGTAAGTATTCAAGGCTTGCTTGCTTTGTTATGTTGTTGTTCTGATGAGGAGGAGGAATAGAACACCAAGCCCATCCATGCTTCAACCCCTTATATACCCAACATCCATGTCCAGCAACATCGATCACCCAAGCCTCTCACCATCCATGATGCCACATCCCAGCACCATGAACGCAACGCTGTTTCCGGATCCGAATGGCATCACCTTACCAACTGCGGCTGAGAACCAAGCCCCCGGGTTCCTGGCAGTATACTATCCATGGAAACCTGAGAAGTAGATTGGGCATATGATATCGGGAGGTTTCGTTACATTGGTCGTTGCGCGTCCAATCGGGCTTATGATTATTGGTTGGGGGAGGTGGAAAAGGATTGCGGTGTGTGGTGTGATATTTGGGGGTGGTGTGGTTGGCTTCATTAGGGTACGGCGGGTGGCATGATCCATGGCTACTTTCGGTAGGGTTCATGTTGGATTGGGTTGATCGTGGAATATTTATTACTATTTGACTTTTTCTGATTAGTTTATCTTCTTTTATAGGCGTAATTATATTGTGTAAATATTATCTGATTTTCTTTTGGCTTGGCTTGGAATAAGGTGGTGTTTGGGGAGGAAGTATTATAGTGCCACTCCCTATAAATTGGTACAGATATTGCTCTTATCTTTTTATCATGAGAATGACATCATAACCCTGGAAATATGTAGTAATTCCGATTGGCCTATTCCATCTGTTCACATTTTGGCTATTTTACATACAATAAGTATTACCCTCCAGTTGAATATGGACTATATGAAGTACCTACTATTAGAGGATCAAGCAATTTACAGAAAATTTTTTTAATCAGATATATAAAAACTCATGGAAGAAACTTCTTCATATAATAAACACTGGCAACATTTTTACCAATACTTCGGCCTCTTTACCTGGTATAATCCTCATTGATTGCTAGAAAGCTACTGATCCAGAGATTGATTTAACCACGCAAGTGCCTATCGACTACACCCGCCGCCTGATCAGAATGCAAACTAAAAAAGAGGTCATTGGTAAGTAAAATTAAGGAAATATTGGTTCCAAGAAATGGCTATCATCCCTTGGTAGAAATATGCAATAGATCTCAAAGGTCTACGAAACCAAAGGAAAAAGAAATACGACAATCCATCAATCCGTCAGATACTGTCCATATTTTATTTCCTGCCTCGAGAGGTGCTGAGTTAAAACCCCATTAATAATATTTCGTATTTGGGAGAAAACCCTGGCGTTGGTCCTCCTTCTGAGTATCGTTAGACCCAGTTTGAAAATTAAGACAGGAATCTGAACAAACCAAAAAGCTCTCTGAAATCTTTAACAAGCTCGATTTCGAAGCTGCAGTATTCCTCGTCCTGATGCTCCATTGACTCCATTGAATCGAAAGTCACTGCAACATCGAAATCTTTCCAAACGACTCTCTCCGGGGGTCCACGGATAATCAGAATGTTCTTTGGGTAGACATCGCGGTGGTGAATTAAAGCGCCGTGGATTCCCCTCAGTCCAACAATCGCGGCTCAAAGATGATCATCAGAATAGTTTACACAGTTAAGCTCTTCAGGATCATGTAGATGTTCGGGCAAAATGGCCGTTGGACCATGGCTGTCATTCATAAAATGACTCAGATGGGGTTGGAACCTGGCTGGATCAAGTCGGTCGATTTAACCGAAATAATATGGAACCACTCCTTGCTCACATACCCCAAACAACTGGAGATTTCTGTAAGCGTTCAACTCGCAGCGAAAACGGTTCAAGTTACGGCCCTTTTCTGTAAGCCCTGGGTCACTGTTGTCGTGGAACTGTGAATTTAGCAGTATTCTGGTAAAATCTGGAGGGCAACTCACCACTTTCATTGCATAGCGATGCTCGTGGAGCTCTACCTCGAAGATTGAGGAAGCCTCCGAGATTTTGAGTTCTCTCCCAATCTGTAAAGAACTGGGGCCAAAAGCAAGAAGGTCTGCAGGATGTTCGGACATTGTGTCCGCATAATCAATAAAATGAATGGCATGTCAAGGGTTATGAGGATTGGCTTGGATTTCAGCACAATGCACTAAACCAGAATAAATCCACGGGTTCGCTCCCACCAATGACATCAGCACTAGGCTGAAGACAGTGGAGAAAGGGGAGACCTAGACAAAGGACGACAAATTCCACGCTTCTCTGTGGTTTCCCTAGTTACTAAGTGTTTTTAGGAAACATCTCACAAACATTTACTCAATACATGTGATGACATTCTTTGGGGCATACATTAGTGACGTGTGGGGCTTCCGAGGGGGATATTGGCCTTGGAAGCGGCGCTAGACTCGCGGCTTGCTACTGGGGTAGAAGTGAAAATTGACCTGGGCGATCTCGATGAAAACTCAGGAATCCGGATCAAGTTTCTCTACTTGACAAGGGGTTTATGTAATTTCGAATGAAGGAGATAACGTAATTGGCAATTACTGTATGCATATTGCATCGAGATTCAAATTTAGCCAACTAAAAACAAGAAAGATGAAATCGATGAGTGGAGAGTCCAGGCGAAAATGAAGGCATGCCCAAAGCTATCTAAGCCTTTCCCCTGTGGAAAAAGCTCTCCAATTTGCTGTGTCCACTAAGAGTTTTCTTCACCGCAGTGCTGGTAGCAGACGTTTCGAGCTCTTGCTTGGACAGAGACGCGGCTTGGCGGGTAATTTTATGTATCATAGATATGATTAATTTCTCCTGGCCAGAGACCCACTGGTAAGTACGTCTGCTCCACTATCAGATCTCGTCAGCTGAATCGTCGAGGGAATATGGTTAGCTGGGTATTCTACCTTTCCGTTGTTGTCGAGATACAAGAAAGTCCACGTGAAACTGTCAGTGGCGATTCCATAGACAGAAACATCCTCCCGCTGTACTTCCTTTCGCGCATGATGAAGCATCGCTGCCAATCAGTGAGCAAACATATATGCACTCAATAGACTACAGTATAGCCTACCCATATAGGCCAAGGCTTGGTAGTCGCCAGAGGTTCCCTTCTTCTTTGCTTCAACCACCAGAAGATTGCACTCCATTTCCTGTGGTGCTTTATACCAAAGGGAATAGTCTGTTGTTCCCGAAACGATCTTTTGCTCACCCTGGTATGTCCATGGCAGCAACATGTCAGTCTCAACCTGGAGGTGAACTGAGAGGATAGAGGAGCTAGAATCTCGGGCAATCGCTCTCTTCTGGGCAGCTAGGGAGGTCAAAAGTATTGCGTCGATTCTGCATCTCATGAGTGCTTCGTTCTCGGGGGAGCCGCCCGTAGCAACCGCGTAATCCGCGAGAATAGATTCTATTTTCATTAGTTCCATTCGATGTTAGGAATTCAGGAACCAAAGCAAGCTTACTGAGGTTTTCGGGGACTTCGCGCAAGTCATCCTGGGTGAGCTTCCAAGGGTTTTCTCCTCCGCCTTCCTTGATCCCGAAGACGTTGGACACGCTCAGGGGATTGAGAGATGTGACGGCAATATGGGGAACTTTCCCCTTCTTGGACTCTTTCTCCTTCTGGGACTGGATGGCTTTCTTGCTCTCAGTCCTCGCAATATCAAAGACATTATCAACTTCCTTGTGGAGGGCAGTGTCTGCTATCTTCCCCAAGACCTTTTTGATCTTCGCCTCAGCACGGTCCAGGATACCCTCCATGATGATACGTGGACCCAAGTGATTCAGAATGATGATATAAAATAATGTTAGAAGACACAGAAAGGAGGATTAGAAGAGAAGGGGGGAAGAGAAGTGCAACGTATAGGAAGGTGTCTCAATTTATACAGCACAGTCTCCTTATTCAATAAATGTAAATGGTGAAAAAGGCAAGTTAATGTAGGTTAATTCACGATAGGTTAATATTGATAGATAATCTCCATTGATAGAAGCCGGGGGGAGGGAAAGAGTGAAGCAGGCTGTTTCATATGATCGAAATATAGTGAGAGTGTTACCTATCAAGTTAATCATTTTTACATATTAAATCATTTCCTCATTACATGCAAATACCTGGTGCTACGTAGGTTCGGTTAGGTAGGCAAAAGGTTGACATCGTTGTTACGGAATTCTTCCCCTACCCCCCCCTTTCCCTTTTATTGACATTTCTCTTCGCTTTTCTCTTCTTTCCCCCCTTCCATTTTATTAACACTTCTCTTCGCTTTTCTTATCTTTCCCCCTTACTTTTCGCTTCACTCGTTTCTGTTATTTCTCATTCACTTAAGCGATATGTGTTTCGCAATGAGACACCGCATCAGCAAAACGCACAAAACGGAGAAGATAGAGGTGGAATTCATCAATCAGTCTATGGATCGGCTTAATCTGCCCATCAACACGGATGAGCTAGCCAGACAGGCTTTTGTCCATATCTTTCGCGAGCTTAAGCTTTCCCCCAGTTCAGATGCCGAAGAAAAACAGGTGTGGATGGTTGATCAGGAGAGTATGAGCGTTCAGATGCCGGAACATTTTGGTTTGTTTCTACAGTCATAGGTACGAGATCGTCAAGTTAACCACCTTTAGAGCAACTGATGACCGACATTGCCACTGGATTCTTTACTGAAGATTCCAACTCAAGCTCAATTCGACCCAAAGTGGACTGGGTTCTGTTGCAGCTGTCGGCTATCGTGAGGAGGAAGAAGGATCAACTTTACGCTGATTCACCGCCGCCCAGTCATCACATTCGCGAAGCACCGTACTGGTATTTCAAGACAACAATTACTGGGTCTGATGATCTAGCTTTGAAGGCATCGGTGGACTACGTTCTGTGGTATGGCGCACGTGGAGATTGGGACACAAACTTGGTAGTAGTTCGAAGCAGCAGTCTACTAGATGACGAATCCTGGGCAGCCCTTCCGAGCATGTGGATTGTTTACGCCGCCCGAAAAGCAAGGAAGTATAAGGGTGGCATCTATGGAGTCTATACCGATGGCCACACTTGGACCTTCTTGCACCTCAGCGACAGGGGCCGTGTAAGTTTTTATCTTTGGATAGAGGCCTGACGAAGCAAACTCACATGATGAAAATAGATATCCAAACGTTGTCTGGTATGGGATGAGAACAAACAGGAAGTAATCGCCCAACTATACAAGATTATCGGGCAGGCTTTCGACCTCCACAGAGCGCGAGAGCAGGACCCGGACGCTCGGGAGCGAATGAGTCATGAATGTTTCTCCTGGAATGAGGATAGGGAGAGCTCTGACGATAATTGTCGTGATGATGATGGTGATATAGCTCCTGAGGGTTGGTGAAGATGGTGCAGAAATCCCGAAGAAGGGTTGGATTATTGTTAAGCGCTGGAATGGTGCTGATAATCATGATAGTGCAGGGACCGTCAAAAGAGGATAAGGTTGTTAAACATTGAATGGGGTATTTCTGACTTTGCTAGAAATTTACTTTTAAGGAAGAAAGCAACATTTAACCTACAGGTAATTATGTTTTTATTTAAGTATCAAGCAACACGAAGTTGGATAACCAACCTGTCTCCGGAGGCGGCCAACGTACGGAGTACTTAGTCTAGCGCTTCATATCACCTGGCGGCAAGAACAACATTCTCATTTACTATTAGGGATAATGAGTTCGGCCAATTCCTTCTAATTAGCGCCTGAAATAGTAGAGCACATTCACTTGAGCCCGACCTAGCTTATTAGCATAGGCCTTCCTGCTTCACACGGCCTGGACCCGATTGTTGCATAGGTGATTGTGGAACGACCGTTAGAATTTAGCGCCGAGGTAAAGTATCTTCTTACATCTATTCATGATGTCCTTGTAATCCAAAGAAACTTTGGCGTTAAGTATCTTTGTCCGGCTGTTCCTGGTGCGGTGGTCCAGCAAATCAAAATAGACTATCTTAAGCGATGTGCCCGTGAGGCTCGGGTTAAATGTTATTATGACAATCAAAGCAAGGCAAATGACTCTTGCGGTCAGTGCATAGATCCTGTGGAAGATGTGTATAGAAAATGCTTCTATTATGCTAGCCAGAGATGAACTTTTGTCGCAATGTAGGTATCATAAGAATGATGACGACTAAAAGTGTAGGCGCAGCGCCGTCCTTTTAGGAGTATCTATCCTAACCACCACACACAAAAGAGTATAGGCACAATGACAAGCTATAAATAGACCTTGCCGCAATACTCATCTTGGAAGCCCTAACGGAATTCATTACCTTTAGGAGAGGTGTTAATACTCCGGCTGGTATGTTTCTTGCCTATCAGGACAGGGCAGGACTGGAGGTGACAAATCGACTTACATAATACGGTTGACCGCCCACAAAGATGAGTAAACTCGGCGAACTTAAATCTGGGTCGACTGTTAAATAATTAAACCAAAAATAATAGGTATTGATCATGGTGGTGTTAGAAAGAAATAAACGATAGCCGGTGAAAAGATAGAAAATAAGATGGTTCAATCATGGCAATTGGGCGGAACAAAGCATACACCCCCAGGTTAGCTGCATGAAACCTTCAACAGCATAGCCCCAAGAGGGATTAAATCAACGACTCCAAGATCAGATCGCCCAATCATAACCTAGAATGGATTTCAGGCGTCCTAAAAAGATAGCACAGCCTCTAACAATTCCAGCATACAGAACAGCAGTGGCTTGAGCGGGAGCTCGATTGCGGAGAGAATACAGTTTCTCGTATTATCCCCGGGCTTCCTAAACATTTAGATGCATAGAATATCACTTGCAATCCTGTCCAGCATAGGCTCTACACACAGCGGAAACCAAATTGCCAAGATATCCGCCATCAATTTAGTTTCGACGGTCCCGTCGATAAGGGGAAAGGAGTGTTGATGCTAATCCTCTTTTCATCCTGCCAAGCAAGATTTGGCCCCGAATATATGCCCAGAATCAACTTCATGATAGAGGAAAATAGGAAAATCGCTCCAGCATAGCCCTGAATACATTCACCAAATATCAACTATCGCCTTGTGCCAGTTGTACTTCGCCGCAATTTGTCTTCTTGGCAGACTTGTTGCTGAAAAGGAAAGGAGATGGCGTTGATAGCGGAGTTAAAGATATATAAAGGGGGCATCAACTTCGCTGAATTCAAGATAACTATTACTATATCTCTAAAAAAGACTAAAATCAATCATCCCACCAAAGCACACTTTCCTACGGGCTAATATTTTCCCTACATTCTCAAAATGAAGTGGACGACCATTCTGATCGCACTTGGTGCCCTCTCTACCCAGGTAGGAACCCATCCACAATATGAATCTACACTAGCTTCATTCAACTCACAGAAATTCCTCTCTCAGGTATACGGAGCTGCCACTGGCAGTCCCTTCGAGAAGCTTCCGATAACCGCCCCAACGTGGGAGGTGGAAGTAACTCCAGGGGGTGACAAGGTCACCCTCAGTGGTACCGTGCAAGAAGTACACGCACAACTCCTCAAGCTGAACCCTAACTACGACAACGACTTCCCTGCCAAGCGTAGCGAAGAGTCATCCAGCTTAATGAAACGAGACTTTAAATATGAGAAATACTACTGCTGGGGAGAAGACGGCTGGCATTATGCCCGCAAGCGCGGCGATAGTGGCGACCTACAGGATGGGATCGATTACCTGAACAGCATAGGAGGTACACCTGGACAGTCTGCTGGCAGCTGTGGTCGTGTCAGTTGCTCATACAATATGGCCATCTATTGGTGCAACGCTGTAAGTTATTGCTCCTCCCTTCTTGACTTCTCTTGTTGAGGGCTGTATATTGAGCTTGACTAATTATTATTATTTTTTTTTTTTTGAATTATAGAACTCGGAGAAACACTATCTCAAATCCTATGCAACTATCGCTGATGGCGCCCAGTTTCTTTTGGACAAGTGCGGTGGAGATAACAAACCCCATGGGGAAGTGGTCGCCCCGAATCACTGGAGCGTTAGGGTTGTGTCGGATGCTTGTTGAATGGATATACAGATGTACGATGAGATAGTCAATACTCTATTAACCTAATGTAATCTAACAGAATTCATTATCTCTAGGATAAATATTGATACTCCAGCTGGTAAATTTCTTGTCTATAAGAATAGAGCAGAACTGTTAAAAAACTTATATAAGTATAGAGACTGCCCCTATAAAAATAGCCGCTAATAGGCTTGATATGTGAGACGATAAAAATCAGAATTGGTGAGACTAATGTTCAAGGCGACTACTGCAGCTTCATGTTGTGGACGATAGACGAATGCTATGATTATTCTCGGCGATGTTCTGGGTAGCTTTTATTGGGACTGGATAGGATGGATGTGGTGATGAACCAGGAGAGAAACCTAGGTACGTACCCTGTATTATAGTCAGCCGCTGCTTAATAATAACAAGTAAATCTAATATAAACAAAGCTGGTGATTTGTGGCTACTTACTGAGATATAGAATATGATAAAGTAGTGCTTCTCTAGGCCTCTTTGTATACCAAATCAAAACTCAAGACATTCATTCTTGTTGATAAACATCGCTTTATACATATGCATCTCATTCATATTCCCAAAACTGTTTATACAAAGTCAATATGTACCATATCCGTCAATATCCATAAAACAACCAAAAGAAGAAGAAATCACTTCAACAACATCCCCCCATTGCTCCCAATGAACCCCCCTGTCAAAAACCGATCCTTCATAGCATAAAGATACGCCTCAGCCACATCCTCCGGCTTCCCAATCTCCCCGATAAGTGTCTGACTCCGGAACATCTCAATCATCTTCTCCAGATTATCCGTCTCCAGCGTCCCAAATATCTCCGTCAACACTGCCCCCGGCGAAACCATGTTCACCCGAATAGGCGCCAGGTCAACCGCCAATCCGCGCGCCATACCCTCAATAGCAGAGCCGCTAGCGGCCATGAGCGTCCATCCCGATGCTGGCCGAGTGGCCAACACGCCGCTGGTGAAGGTCATCGACGAAGATGGCGCCTGACGCATGTAGGTCGGGGCATGCTTGGCGAGGATGAGTGAGCCGATGAAGCGGACGGTGCCCGAAGACTCGATGTAGGAGACATCAAAGGTTGGGTCGGTGGGTTTACGGAGGCCGAGAGCATCACCAGCTGTCATGACCACATGGTCAAGGAGAACTTTGCCGTCAGGGGTCTGGGTTCCCTGTGTATTCGGGAAGGTATCTGGGGCTGTGGCGAAGTTGTAGAGGCTTACTACGTTGGCTTCGAGAGTTGCGCGATCAGCAAGGTTGCAGACGGTGCCGGCGATGCGATTTGTGTGCTCCTCGTCTGGGTAGAAGGACTTCAGACGGGCGATGGCGGAGTTGACTTTTTCGGGTTTGGAGCTGGCAACGATGATGGAGGCGCCGTGCTCGAGGGCAACCCGGGCCACGGAGAAGCCGATACCCGATGTACCTCCTACAATGAGGACACGGGTGTTGACGAGTTTGTTGGTGGAGATGTGGGTGCTCATGCTGGTTTGTATAGACGACTTGTCGGTGGATATGGGTTCAGGGTTGGTCCTGTTGGGAGATCTGGATATAGAAGAGTCTATTAGCTTGTCAATTTAGTCGACAAGAATACTCCATCTTTATAGCCTTCTGGATTGATGTAAAGATGGACATATTTGTCACCTCAGTTTCGCAAATTTGGAGATTATACATCGCTATTTCCGTGTGGAGACCTTATCTCCGTCTACACGCAAACGGCCTCGGACTGCTTTCTAAGCAGCTCTGCGTTTGGAGCCCTGCTTAATTTATCTCCGGCCGTAAAGCCGAGAAGCCTAAAGCCGGGGAGGATGCATCGCCAATGAAAGAAAGGCATTAAGCTATTGCGTATCATATTCATTATATACTGTGCCTAAAAACGAGATTGAACATACACATGAGACTCCGGACCCCATGAACCTTCGCCAACCCAAGCATATCAAAAATAGATCTTTAATACATAGTGTATCCATCTATGCCTTTATCCATCGAATGTTTTATTTGCTGAAATAGACTGAGATGCAACTTGTTTAGTCCCAGCTGTTGATCTTCATGGTTCCCTTCTCAGCCAGGTTCTGGTGCATCTTGAAGGCCTGGAAGAGCAGGTGAGGCTCGTGGCCCATACCCTTCCTCAGGCACTCGAACTCGGCCCGGTCGAGGTAGTCCGTGAGAATTGGCTTGTAGTCGGGGTGAGAGCACTTGTCGATAATGACACGAGCACGCTCGCGAGGAGACAGACCACGCACGTCGGCAAGACCCTGCGGAGGTTAGTATTGTAAGATATGATGTGTAATGTGAGGAAAGAAAGCTTACCTGTTCGGTAACAACGACGTCAAGATCGTGCTCAGTCTGGTCAATGTGTGTGCAGAAAGGCACAATACAGCTGACACCGGTGGGATCAACCTTGCTAGGGCGGGTACTAGGAGTGTGCATGATACTGTACTTCGAGCTGCGGAGGAAATCGGCGGAGCCACCAAGACCGTTCAGCATGCGGGAACCCATGACACAGGTGCTGTTGGCATGAGCATAAATATCCACCTCAACAGGGGTGTTCATGCCGATGCAGCCAAGGCGACGGATGATCTCGGGGGAGTTGGACACCTGCTGAGAGCGGAGGAGAAGCTTGCCGGCATAGCGCTCCCAGTTATCGTAGAAACGCTTGAATCCGTCGGGAGAGAAACGAATGGAAGTCGCCGTGGCGAAGTCCAAGTTGCCGCTATCGAACAAGTCCAGGAAAGAATCCTGCAGCACCTCTGTCCAGACCTTCAGGTTGGTGAAATCAGCACCACCCTTGCTCAAGCCACCGATGACAGCGTTGGCAATGTTTCCAATACCCGACTGGATCGGCAACAGGTTCTGGGGCAGGCGGCCATGGTTGACCTCGTGCTTCAGGAACTCAATCAGGTTGGTCGCAATGGCCTGTGAAGTCGCATCCTCCGGGGCGTTGGGCTGGGTCTGGTCGGGGTAATCCGACTCAACGATGGCAACAACCTTCTCGGGGTCAACAGGAATGTGAGGGGTTCCGATGCGGTCCTCGGGCTGAAGGATGAGGTAAGGCTTGCGTCTTGGAGGAAGCTCAGACATGGTGATATCGTGGAGACCCTCAAATGAAGGGCTGGCGGTGTTCACTTCAATGATAACCTTATCGGCCATCTGAACCAGTTCCGGGGAAGCACCGACGGAAGCACCAGGGATGATACCACCATCCTCAGTGATGGCAGATGCCTCAATGACGGCGACATCCAGCTTGTTCTTAGGCTTGTTCAGTGTGTACCAGCCCTAGAACTAGTGTTAAAACGTCTCACCCATGATTCAATGATTTCGAGAGCAACCTACATAAACCAGATCTGAAGGGAACATGCTCAGATGCTTATCGAAGAACTTGATCTGTCCGGAGTTGATGCCCTTGGCAATCTCCTTGCCGACCTGGTGAGGGCTCCGACGCTCGATCATGTTCAGTCTAGCCCAGCGATTCTCCGTCTCTGCGCCAGATGAAGCACCGACAAACAAGGTGTACTGCAGCTTTCCTTCGAGTCCATTCTTCTCGACATGGTCGGCCAGCGCCGTTGGAACTTTCCTGATAGTTGGGAAGATAGACCGTTAGCCCGATGCAATTCACCATATCAGAGATTGTTGACATACTTGGGGTATCCAACACCCGTAAATCCGGACCAGCCGATGTAAGAGCCATGAGGGAAGAATTCGATGAGATCCTCTGCCTTAGCGAGCTTCTTGAGGTATGAAGGCCGCCTAACACGGCTTCTTAGAAGGGCAGAAGCAGACATTGTGTGTGTGTGTGTGTATGTGTGTGTGTGTGTGTGTGTGTGTGTGTGTGTGTGTGTGTTAGAGAAGGAAGGAGAAGGTAGGGAAAGAAACAAAGAAGGAGTGGAGAGAGGAGAGGAGAGGAGAGGAGAGGAAGTGAGGGAATGGAGAAAAGAAAAAGAAATGAAGAAAGGAAGCACGCGGATGGGAAGCTCTGAGGATAGAAATATGGTACAGGAACTCAAACCCCCCCGCCACAAAATCCCC